CACACAAACAAATATATTTAAGCTAATGTTGAGAATTCTGCTGCTGAGCCCCAGATTTTAGCAAAAAGTACACTATTTAGCTATGTCAAAATTCTAGTTTTATATATATACTACATATGTAGACTTCCTTTATTTCCAACATGTATCTAAAAATTCTGGTTCCGCCACTGGATTACATGTAGGTGCTTCAACTCTTTCACATCAAGTCTAAATGAAATTCTTCTTACGGAATTAGAAACAGCCGAACAGGTAATTGGCCTACAAAATCCCTTACCACGGCAAAAAAAATAAAGAAAAAGAAGAGTACCGGAGAGAGAGCAGTTGCGGTTGGAGAGATGGTGAGAAGCTTATTAACTCTTCTTCTTCTTCTCTTGTCTGCGAGAATCAGAGGGGCAGAGAGGGGGGCGCTGAGTGAAGAGAGAAGCGAAGCTGTAAAGAGAGAGATGTTAAGGACTAAAGTCGCACTAATTTTGTAAATTGAATCCATAATATGGGTATGGGTTTTAGGTTAAGAATATGGGTCCAAGTTCAACCTATTTTTTTTTTTAAGGATAATGTACGAATATCCTCGGTTTATGTCTGAAATCTCAAAGAGACATTTATACTATATTAAGATACTATTTGCCCTGAATATATTTTATTAATAATTTTTTACTTATTTTCGATCAAAGTGGCACTATCTTGGCCCAGCGTTGGTTGACTTTTTCCTTCAAGCTAGTGTTATGTAAGCCTAAAAGAGATAGAAAATTGCTTATAAAATAAGTTCAAGGAAGCAATAGTAGTATAAGTGTGTCTCTATGATTTTGAATATAGATTGATGAGTTACTTATACATTTTTCTTATTAAATACAACTATTAAGGAAAATTAGCAACAAATAGCCCCTAATTAAATAGCACGAAATAGCCCATAATAATTAACCTGCGAGAACTATTAGTTTTTTTTTAATTATGAAGCTAATCGCCACTCACACACAACATTAAAAACAGAACGTGAAAAATATAAAATTCTCCAGATAAAAAAAGTGATTCAACATTCATAAACTCATAAAACTTCATGTATTCGATACGAAAAAAAAAAATCAATGACATATTATTACAAAATTTCAACAAATAAATGGTGTTTTTGATAGTTTTAATTTATCATAGCAGAGAATGGGATAGCGCAAATAACTTTGTGAATTATTCCATGGATGGGGTGATTATTACAACAATCATTGAATTCAACGGATTCACTCGCTTGATTTCAAGTCATCTAAATATCGATACTTTCTTGAATTCTTTTGATTTTCATTACAAGATTAATGAAAATTATGTACCTATGTGTATACGAAACACTATGGGATTACCAGTAAAAATCGAATTGAAAAAAGGTTTAGGAAACTTCAAAGAGTATCCACTGTGTATAACTTGGAAAACTATAAATATTCATCGTACACTTTCAATTATTGGAGAAGAATATGAGGTCAATATCCAAATAATACATCATAGTAACACAAATGCATACAATTTAAGTGTGCTTGAATATAATGATATGGCTGCTCGAGAGATAGCATATTTTCAACAACGCAATATTATTGAAAGTGATGTTGCTAACGTACCCTCAGAAGGTCAACTATATAAGGATAGGAAATTTTTGAAGTCTTTCATTGAAAATTATGCAATTCGAAAGAAGTTTTAATTTAAAGTGAAGAGATCAAATGCATCGAGGTATTATTCAATTAATATAAATAGATTATAAATCTATATTATCTACTAATATAAATAGATTATAAATCTATGTTATCTACTACAATGTATACCTTTTAAAAAATGTTATACTTTATTAATCCAATCACTTATTTAAACAGATGACTGAAATTATGTATTATCAAAAGATTTGAATATAATCTCGCAATTGAATATTCATGTATATAATGCATTAATGTATACATATTTATGTATTTATTCATTTGAAAAATCGAACAACAAATAATTTATCATTTATCATGACTGGGTTTCTTTCACTGAAATGAGCATTCATATATACATTGCATTCATGTATACATATTTGTGTATTCATTCACTAAAACTTTGTATACATTTCAGATTCTTCCTTTCGTGTGTAAATGAGGATTGCACTTGAAAATTAAAATGCTCAGTATTGTACAAGTCAAAAATATTCAAAGTGCACCAATCGACTCACACTTTTTATCTTTAAAAATATACTTTCTACGAATCAGTTACCGCAAAGTACTTGCATGACTAAAATTTGAAGTTTTAGGTGAAGAATCAACAAAATTAGAATTAAAATCTCCTTTTTAGGAGAAATTATATATATTTTTTCTTAACCATAACAATTGGTACCAACAAACAAATACAATTTTCTAAATTTTCTCCGGGATATATAACCTAGATGCTTGAAATTTTAAAAACCAAAGAAAGTTATATAACAAAATACTAAGTTGAAGAAAAAAAAAGAGGGCACAATGGACGAAAAACTGCTAGAATATGAAACAAAATCTTTTAACTAAAAGAAAAGAAGATGTTTACAATATCAATACTACTTCACCAATAAATGTAAATGTCTACATTCGAGAGAAAAAAAAAAGTAAATAGTGCCCACAACCCCCTTTAAATGCCACGTGCAGATTCCCCACAAATTAAAACAATTAATTAAACTTTAATAACATAAATAACTTCTCATAAAAACGTGAGCTAAATTATGCCAATTACAATTTTAAAAGAACTTTTTATGTTATAAAAATAAAAATGGGCTAAATATTGCCAATTAATAAAAAGGGAGTACATGCTGTTGCCATTTTTTCCTATTTTCACTTATTGAAATTGACATAAATAGCCTGTCACACATAAATAACATAGCAAGATAAAAATGCGTAATTTATTTTTATATACATAGTTATAATTTTAAAAAATTATAATGCATATCTATATTAATTATTTAATAGTTGTTTATTAATTTAAAATTACATCTTTCCATTAGTGTATATCGATATTTTCAAATTAGCATATAATCTCAATTTAGTATATAAATCTTCACGAGTTTTTGTGTGAGTCCATAAAAAATTCTAACATTCTCCTGTCTGGACCATATATCAATATATCTACATGTAATGTTGAGCTAAGCATGCCTATTTCTAACTAGTCCTAGTGAAAAACAAGTCAAACTGAAAGGATAAACTTACTTTATTCGGAAAATTGTATAAAATAGCAAATTAATAATCTAAATTAAATTGAATAGATAGGGT